TTCCCTCCAAACGATTTATTTCTTTGAGAACTCTGAGCTCATCTTTTTTTTTCTGCTCTAGAGCCATTTTAACTTAATATTGCTCTCCTTCCAGAGCCCCAAGAGAGTACAGGCTCCCTTAGCCACCACAGATGCTGTGCTGACATTTTAGTCCAGCCATTTGCTGTAAAAGTCATCAATATCACTGCTCCTGAAGAGACCTTTTCTAAGAAAGATGAAAACAAATTGCTGGTATTAGATCATACTTTGACCTCTACAGCCCTAAGTGAACTGAACTCCTTGCTACTGCTTTGAAAGCACATGAGAAGCAAATTGTCTGTGTGAGCAGGCTCATGGTAAGAAAGGAGATACAGCAACACTGGGCATGAAACCATCACAGAATCTTTGGGTTTTTGGTGTCTCAGTGCTTAAAGTCATCCTCCTACAACAAATCTGGAGCATAAATGATATACTTTGCTATATTTTAAATTTTATTTTATTTTTTCACAAATTATTTGCCATTTTTGAAAGCTAGCATATTTCAAATGCCAAAGGTTGCAGTGGAACAGAAATCTGAATGGTCCTTGCACCATCTCCAAGAAAAGATTCATAAGAAACTGCAAACTGCTTCCTGGCATCCCTATCACACACTGGGACAATGACCATGTAAAAGGATGTTTCTGAGCCTTAGGGGATGAACCAGCTTAAGAAACCTGTTTTCAGGCAAGTCTTAAAATTTGAGAATAGCTAAATGCTTAAAATCATCACCACAGCAGGGAGTCTAAACTGCAGTCACAATGTTTTCATTTTTAAACAAGAGATAAGAATAATGTTTCCAACTGAGCAGGCAGCTGAAAGAGCGAATTGCAGGAAAAGACTGATGTACTAGAGATTTAAAAAATCTCCTTGAGTCATGTTTTCCAAACTCATAAGGAAAATGATACAGTAAACAGATAAACAAAATTAGCACTTCCATCACTGCATTGTCTGTACTCAAACATTGAGTAGCTCATCGTAGCTCCTGTGCTATAATGTACTTTAAAACAGGTTTTCCTCAAGATCAAATAGCTGGGTCTTCTCCAGAACATCACTCAAGTGATTCAGACCATCTCTTGCACACTTCATTCACCATAATCTCAACTGTGCTGTGAACGTAGCATTAAACTGATAAATGTGGTTTATAACAACACAGTAGACGCAGATAACGTCATTTAAGTTGATTTGCACTTAGGTTCAAAGACCCACTACAAAGAGATAATACATATGGTACCAGACTGTCAGGCAAGAGAAGTCAGAAGAGACAGATGACCTTTGTGCAATATCTCACCCGCCTTCTCTCTCAGGAATGTATAAACACAAAGTCATGAAAGTAGACACAGTCAGCCACTGTGACACCACTGAGAACACTCATTTTATTGGAAGATAGAACAGCTTAAAAACAAACAGAAAAAAGTAATAAATTCCTTAGTTATAGCCCTGTTTGCTGTGTCTTTGTTTCCCTGAGCGACTGAGAGAGAGAACGTGAACAAAATCTCCAGCAGTTGCATTACAGAGACAGGCTGACAGGCTGGGTGACACCGTAAGTCTTGGTCAGGTCTCACCTCTGGGCTCCTGACTTGCATCTTAAAACATCTTAAGAGACTTTTGTATCAATGCCTTTGCAGGGAACCTGCTTTGCTATTCAGAAGGGCTTCTGCCAGACAGAAAGATAAATGCTTTGTCCCACCTGGCACATCTGTAATTGCAAGCCCCACTGGGAAACAACACCCTCCACACAAACATCTTGGGGTTACTGTTTGAGACATCCTATGGAGGGGGGTGCGCACTGAAGAATCAGACAATCAAAAACTCTAAAAAATTATAAATCCCCTCTTACTCTGGTGTCATCAGGAGTGGCATGACACAGCAGGAAAAGAGACCGGTTCACTGTGAGACCTGCTACTCACTCTCTTACAGTGTAACGGCCCCCATCCCAGCTGCACATCGCTGCGAGCAGCTGGTCCTGACTGGCACCAACCACACAGCCTGCCTCGCTGCTCCTTGGGAAGAGCAAGGGTGATGGAGCACGACCAGCTCTTTCTGCATCACTGCAGACCTGCCCACCTTGCAGAGACCTGCAAACTTTTGGGGACTTTGCATGATGAAGAACAAACTGCAGAGGTTAGCTTGAACGTGCAATGTGACTGCTCACAGCCATTCTTCTCCCGGCTCCCTCTGTGTTCCATTACGTGGAGCATGGACACCGAGGATGCAGTGCAGGACACAGGACAGCACCAATGGAGAATGCAACCTCTGCTCTTCCATTGCTTGGTGTTTCCAAGCAAAGAGTTTCTCAATTTGCCATTTTCACCACATTTTCAAGAAGAACAGTGACCAGCTCTCTCCTCCACTGTTCAAGTTTAAAAATTACACCATCACCAACAGGTTTCACCAGAAAAGGCACTATGAGCAGCTGAAGAAACAAATAACAGATGTAAATACCTGCTTGCTGTGCAGTCTGTGTCATCTGTTGACTCCGCTGTGCATTGTACTGAACTGAGGCAATGGGTCTGTACTGCTGAGTTGTTGAGGTAGGGTACTGACCAGATGGGTAATAATAAACTGGCATCTGCAAAGAAAGAGAACAGCAACTAATTATGGACTCTGAAGCTCAGAGAGTCACAGAAAAAAACAAAACTAGAGGAGGAGCAAGAGTTCAAATCAAGCATATTAATGGCAACAGCAATCGAGAGGAGAGGTTCTCATTGTGTCTCTTCAACAACTGCAACTTGCTTTCAGCTTTGTTAGGAAAAGGGCTATCAGTGCCCAAATTTCTTCTCCCATACTTTATGAAACAGAAGAAAAAGCATTTTAATTGAAAGTGACAAAAGTGTTCAGGATGCCGAAAAACCTACATACATATATCAAAGAAATCACAGTACATTATCAAATGCTGCAGAAAAAGGGATGTAAACAAAACCTTCCATACCAACATAACAGCTAGAGACAGCATTTCAATCCATTAATTGAACTCCAGAGAAAACAGTAAATTCAAAGCAAAGAATAGCCCGAGTAAAAATATATATAGGAAAGATGAAGTGTATGTGCCCTGAACACTTGTAAGAAGCAATAATAATAAATTCATGCTTTTGTTTAACAGCTACATCCTTCCTTACAAGGACTTTTCCCTGTAAAGCCTCTCTGACACTTGGTGTGAACACAATTAAAACTGCAATTCAAAAAACAATCATAGCTGTTTTCTTGCAGAAGCTGAGGGTAGGCATTGAGTCAGCAGATACTGCAAGATGGTGGGTTTGGTTTGCCTTTTTTTTCTACTATTGTTGTCATTATAGAGCAATGTGTACTCCATCACCTTATCAGGCAGGTTAACATGGAGGTTCGAGGGAGGTTTGGAGCTAAAGATTTTTCCTGTACTTCCTATACTACCATTACTGAGACATTTGAACTAAACAGTTTTCAACCGACCTTTGGCAAGTTCAGAGTACCCAAAGTTTTTCCCTTCCAGCTGCAGTGGATGCTGCAGGTACCAGGCAGGTACCAGCAGCATCCGGTATCACCAAACTGTGGAGGGACACAGGCTTTGGAGAACATTGCTTCTCTGGTGACTCCTGCCACACCTGTCAGCATTTCTTTATAAATCATAACTTTTTTTATTTTTTTTTTTCTCTCTGTGTGTAGCATTTATCCTAGTCAAGACACACGCAGAGTCATGCCAAATGCTTTCAGGCTTTTTTCACACAAAAATAAGAACTATTTTTGCCACTCCTATTCACACAGAGGAAATGTTGCTCAAACAGCTTATTCAGCTAGATCACCTGTAAAGTATTAGCAGAGTAAAGGTAACTGCATCCTTTTGTATACTGCTAGAACATCATAAGAAAGAGCAGAAATTTTCCTAGAGAGAGGTCAGATGAGCAAGAACTGGCATAGATAAAAAAAGACTAGGCAGAAAGAGGGTTTGGAAGGCTAATTGGGCAAGTAGAAGACTACCAAATTGATAACTGGAATGGGAAAATTATCAAGTGCAACAAAACTGAATCTGTTGCTGGTGTTCAAGTGAAACCCCCAGACTAACAGACAGTCAATATCATCTGTCAGTCAAGAGGCTGAATACCTATTAATTCTTCAAGCTGTATTTATTTTCTCTTCAATCAATGAAAATTCATGAAAATTCTCTTTTTCTCTCCTCCCCCTGTCCTGATAATACCAGCCAGATTAAAACAAATACCCAAAACAACCCAAAAACATTTCAATCGGAAAAAAATGTTGTAAGCTATCTTCCCTCCAGACAATACCAAGCAACGCCCTTGGCTATAGCCTGCCCTCAAGCCACTTGGTTTGTTAGACACTAAAGTAACAAAAGAAAAATGCCTTTGTAAAATGGACAAAAACATGATGAATTTGTTTCTCTGCAAAGAAAAGCCACAAGGTACAGGAAAGCTGACTTTTGGTGCAAAATCATCCTTTAAACACGATAGCAGTACAAATCGAGGATCAGGCAAGTTTCATGTGATAAACTCATCTTGTGGAAACCCGATTGCTCTCAGCGACACTCCACAACAGGAGACTTGAAAGAAGAGACAAGATTCAGCCTAAGTAAAGTCAATGCATACAGTTGCTCCTGCCTTGGAGCAGGGGAACAGAGCAGACATCCTCTCAAATATTCATTATTTTTTATTACTGTGTTCTACAAATTAAAGAGTATTAAACCCCTGTGGAAATACTCTCACTTCTCCTGGCAGCAGCTTAAACTCACTTAAAGGATTTACATTTATTTTATTTACCCTCAACTTCCCCATTTTCCTCATACATGACAAGCCCCTAGATATTTGAAATACACGACCATGTGAGAACAATGTGAATTCTCTCTTTCAGAAAAATTCTGAAAGTATTCACTTTTAAATATAGCCTAAGGAACATAGGTTTTGAAGTGATGTTTACAGTTGAACATGCTTAGCATAAATACATACATGTACACTGAAGCATTCAGAGTGTAAAAACTTATTTACTTCTACCACACAGGTAACACCTCATAGTTAGTCAAAGAGTTTTTTCCAGTTGTCTCATTTTCTTGCTTCATTGGAATTCAATTGTTAAAAATACCATTTAGAAGCTTATCAGAGTGCCATCTATCAGCCTGAGAAACGTTGGTAGTATGAGTATTGGGTAAAAAAAAATATCATTTCACTTAGAAGGATTTATGAATGAATTTGCCAGTAGACACACACACAACTTGCAAATAAGGTTTGGGTTTTGGTGGGTTGTTTTATTTTCTGCTTTGTTTGTTTGGGATGGTGTGTAGTGTTTTTTGTTTGTTTGGGGGGAAGTTGTTTTGTTCTATTTTTTTAAGAGATCAGACATTAAAAGAAGGACTTGGTTTAAACTACAGACATGGATAAAATAGGTCTTTTGTGGTTGAGGAGTTTGGAAGGCTCCATTTTCATTTTATCTTGAGCACACCTCTGTGTCACTGGTTGAAACACGTTATTTATCCTTTCTGATATTACTTCAGCGATCAGTGAAATTAGAGGGATGAGAGATAACAAGTATCACTGATATCATCTATTCTGAGTCTCTTGGCTTTTTTTAGTTTCTCGTTACACCAGTGCTACTAACACCTTTGCTTATGTGCTCTTTAACAAAACAACATTACATTCCTGCAGCAGCCTAGCCACATGCTGAGTTAGACTTTAATTGCTTTCCCATGTGTATGTACAATCTAACCTTGGACCTTTTGTTTGTATAACATATTTCATTTACAGGACCAGGAAGTTTCCGCTGCCCTAACAAGCATGCCAACACACCTACATGGTTATCCTAAAAAAAAGTAAAATGCTCTTCTAAGACCATAACCTAAATAAATGCTGCCTTCTTTAATCTAAAAGCATTGATCTTAATCCTTGACACTCTGAAAAATCCCCCCTCTTTAATAATTACCATGGAAATATTCGTTAGACAATCCTTACTCCCTTGGATATTCTTATTTTGAAGGTGTATACTTGCCTTGTTTGTATGCTGACCATTCTAATGCATTTTGGGGTTTTTTTTCCTCTCATATATTTTCTTTATTTAACTTAAACTGTAACTGGACTGGGCACACCACCTCAGAGACACTCACGATGAAACAGCATTAACAGGCTTGACTTTTTCCCACTTCTAATGCTTTGTCTCCAGAGGACCACCAGAGACTCAAAGCAGCACTGTCTCTCTGCTTTGTTACCAGGGCAGATCTCCCCTGGACTGCTCTCTAGCAGCATCCCTTAAATTCACAGGTATGTTATTTCCCCAGGTTAGGAATAGAATTCCATGCATCTTTCAGGCTGATTTTACCTTCCTAAACTGTGTCTCTACTGACTGGCAGCTTGCTTCTGCCATCAGGCAGGTATTCTAGCTTGTCTTCATGTTGCTGGTATCAGCTAGGTTTGGATTAACACGTTCATCCAGATAATTCATCATGCTGACACTGTTGCTAATGACAGCTGCAGCCGCCATAAACAGGAGTGAAGACAACAGAAACCACAGTGATGCATGGACCATTTCTTCCCAATATCTTATTGGCTGGGATCAGTCATTCTTCAAGGATTTTCCTCTTCCCCTCACCTGCCTCCATAATAATTACAACAACAGTAACAAAAAATAATGGCTTGTGTACAACTGTAGAATGTCCTCCAATCTACATTTCTGAGATCATCAAGGTAAGAGCGACCCACTTGCAGTGACTCCTCAACCTTCAAAACAAGTTTCCTAGAGAAGACATGCTATGAATGAAGATGCTGTCTTAGGGTAGCTATAGACTCTCTAGGAGGGAGCTTCTGCAAAGAGACACCTACAATTAGTGATAACACAAAATGAACTCAGGTGGAAAATCCCTCCCCTTTATTATTTCTCCAATCCTCTCAAAGAATCCAGGCCACCTCATTTGTGGACATAATTTTGCCAGTATGCCTTCCGGAAAGAATGAGTTAAGAGGTAAAAATAACTTTAAAGGGTGCATATCCTTTTCCACTGGCATAGCATCCGTAGTTTTGCTACTGCTTCACTTGCAGAGGCAGAGCAATGACAAGCACCATTGAGAGAGTGCTGTGAAGACCAAATGTGGACACTTGTTGAAGTGTCTGGGCCCAGAAGGGCTGCAGAAGACCACCAGAAAGAAAACTAAAACCAGAAGAAAACAGAAAAAGTAAATATGTATGTTTGCTATTTGTGAGACAGAAAGCAAGCAGAATTTCCTGCTAGAAGTTACTTTCAGCAAACCTAGACTAACAGTTGGGATTTTTGATTTAATTATTTTTTTCCAAATGGCTGAACAAAGATCATTATTTTCAGGTTATTAAACCATGACTCTGTTGTCAAGCTGGGGAATAGCTGTGATGAAAGAAGCTGCAAAAGAAATGTAAGGTGTCCTCTCACCACTTCTTAGGCATGTCATTTCAAACCCAGTCTGCTTCTGCTTTGACACACACTGGGAGAGAGAATCTTGGAGAGCAGCTGTAGAGCCACTTTTAATTTAATACAAAATCTAATAATTTAAATGCAGTACCAGGGGGTTTGTAGGCTTGGAGAGCATTTCACTTCCCTCCTTTCAGTTCCCAAAGGAAATGGTCATACCCACAGGACCTTCACCCAGGTTTTTTCACTGCTATTTTCCAACAGCATACAGTGCACTGTAGCCAACCTACCAGAACCTTATGAGCAATGCATTTACAGGAATTAGCCATTACCATTAAGCTTCATTTTTACTGGTATAAATTTAATAGCAACATTTAAGATAGATAAGTGCTTTTACATTGATTGAGTGGCATTGATTAATGCATCACATGATGTTCTGCATGCATTACCATAAGGCCTACCTCAGACCACCTCTTTTGACATTTAAGAGCAGCCTTACTATTGCATCTAAGCCTACAGAGCAACAGGTGATTCAGATAGCCACAGTGAAGTTATGCCAAAGGTAGGACAGGGAGTCAGGGTGTAGCTGCCCTGCACAGAAAGCTCAGCTGTTAGGGCAGAGGAGATACTATTTCCCAAAGCTTTGTTCATCTTTCTTATAAGAAAGATCTCTTATTTGCCATACACATGCTACAAGTAGCATACAAACCACTGTGCCACATTCGAGAGCTGAAAAGAATGAATTCAAACTTGAAACATCAATCAGAGGTCCCCATCTGCACAAGCAGATGCAGAGAGCTGCTGCCCCTCTCCCTCCCAGCAGACCAAGGCCACAATACAGGGACACGGGCAGCAGGGACTGACCCCCTGCACCCTCTTCCACACAGGTGTCCAACAAGGTTTTTTGGATTAGCAGCAAGTTGGAGAAGAAATTCTTTACTGTGGGAGTGGTGAGACACTGGAAGAGGCTGCGCAGAGAAGCTGTGAATAGCCCTTCCCTGATAGTGTTCAAGGCCAGGCTGCATAGGTCTTTGAGCAACCTGGTCTAGCGGGAGGTGACCCTGCCAACAGCAGAGGGTCTAGACAGCAGAGGGAACTAGACGATCTTTAACGCCCCTTCCAACCCAAACCATTCTGTGACTCTATGAATGGTGTGTGCGGTGCAACGGATGCGGAGGAAGTGGACAAGTACTGAATTTCTCACCTTTCTAGAGCCCCTGAGGGACAAACCATTCCTCAGGGAAACAAATGAGGCTGCTGCAAACCCAAAAGATACTATTCTGCCCTGGGTAACTTTCCATTTTGATGCAATTTAAGAGGAAAGTTCTAGTATGTACCGTATTTAGCGTATGTACAGGCACAGTGGCCATTATCCACAGCAATCTGGTACTAGTCCTACAGGAGCCCACACATGAAAAGGCACCTCCTCATGACTTGTTCTCTAAGGAAGTTCATCTGCCTTTCCAGTAGCACCACAGCAAGGATAAATGAGGGAAAACAGCTCCGCAAAGCAACACTATGCCACACTGAGCGAAAACCTTGCAACCCTACTGCACACAGAAAGGTGAAATCCAACACTCCTGTGGGCAAACCCACAGAAGCAGCCTCTGCTAAGTCAACCAAGATGGGGTCTAGCAGAGATCCCGGGCAGGGGGGCTGCAAACCTGGTGTCACCTCAGGAGGGAGAGGAGATGGTGTGGGGTTCCCAGCCACGGCAGGCAGCAGGATGCTGCAGCCCCCTTCACTCCTGCAGGGCTGGGAAACGTGTCACTGCCCCTGCCACGGTGACAGCTTGTGAAATGGAGGTGCTCGCATTTATCTGGTTCACTACAAGTGTCATGAGGTTTGATTAAATGATGCGTGAAAACACTGAGGGCACTGGGGGCTTGTACATGAAGAGAGAAGCCTGGACAGCCTCTGCTTACTCACTTAGGAGACACAGTCCAGATGGGGAGACAGATTAATCAGGACATTCTGCTTCTCAAGTCGCTTTTTCCTTCTGAATCTTTTAAAAAAATGTTACGTTTGGCAACCAATTAAATATTTTTCTAGCAATATCTTCAATTAGAAAAAAAATAAAATCAAATTATATTGAGCTTCAGCTCCTTACCACTTTTTTTCTTGCAAGACTTCTCTCAGAAAAAATGGCTGCATTATTTCTAACTACAGAAACTATGGATGCCACGGTCTTCTGTGGGATGTAAGCATCCAGTAGTTTTCAGGTATCTTTTATTACTAGTTAGTGATCTCATTAACTAGATCTCTAGCCCACTTAAAACACTGTAACAATATATATTCTTCATTACGGTGGCAATACAGAATCCCGTTAACAAACACAATCGGAGAGTTTCAGTAAGAAGTGAAAAAAAGAAAGCAAAGAAAAAGCAGCAGGGTTTACACTACTTTTACATTAAAAGTAAAGGTGAAGTTCTTTTGCTTTATTTTTTAATATATTTTCTTCCAAAGGATAAAATGAAAACAGCAGAAATATCATCAATAGAATTTTAAAGTAGAGTTTAAATGAAGTTATCTATAATTGGATTAAAAAAAAAAAAAATTGGCTTTTTAAAGTGTATGCCTTGAAAATGGTCCAGAAAGTCATCTGAGCATTTTACTTCTTGACAGTAATCACTTTCAATATTCTGTAAAGGTACCCAGGGGACAAGTAGAGATGTTTGGTAGTGAACAGTAAAACATAATCAGTCTTCAGGAAGACAGTTAAAATTACTGATCTGTGACATCTCACATGTTCAAGTCAATTAAATATGATTAATGACTACCTGGGCTGGTGTGCATGTTGCTCTTTTGTTATATATAGAGGAGAAAAAAGAATACAGATATTTACTCACCTTCCTCCTTCATATTCATGTGCAGATGTGTCCTGGAGTATGAACGTATGTTCAGAAAACGGTTTGAGGATAGGGAAGGAATTGCTGAGACCAAGGAAACAACAGAGGCTTTTCAAGTTTCCTGCTGCCTAAAAATCTGCTAAGCTTTTTACCATGGAGAATAAAAGTATACAAAAAAAAAAATCTGGAATCTGAATAATGTTTTAATATTCTTTTTCTGACGTTACAACAAGCACCACGCCAAACTGGCAGCGAAGGTTTTGCCTACCTGAGCAGGTGGTGGTGGCTGTTGCACAAAGCCCTGGGGCGGTGGTGGCGGCTGCAGCACTTGCTGGGATACTGGTGGACCTGAACCTGTAAAGCCTCCTGGGGGAAGCTGCTGACTTGGGGAAGCCATAATGTAACCTGTCTGCTGGGCAGGCTGCTGCAAGATCGGCGATGGGTAGACAGGACCAGAAGGCGATTCGGGGTTGTCTCCTGATGATTGACGACTTAAACTCATCTGGTTAAATTGTGTTGTCATGTCATCTCGCTGCAGGGTAAAAGGCAGTAGAAAATGATGTAGACACGATGTCTGCAGCAGACAGGCAAATTAGCAAAACCAAACAGGTTCAAACAGAGTGCGAGGGGTGGGGAAAGGAATCGCTCAGCTCAAATATGTGCCAAACTTCACATGGATATTTAAAAAAATGGAGTCAATTAGAATGAAAACCACTATAAATGCTCTGACAAAGACTTCCGGAATGCAAGATGAACAGCATGGCTCGGCACAAAAGTATATTATTTTGGCTTTTAACCTGCCCCTCTCCTCCCTCCACTGCTTTTTATTCCAAAATGACAAGCAAACTTTACAGATTCAAAAACCAGACATTTTCAATCTTAAAGGGCATGAAAATAACATTACGAATACCTCTTCCCCCAAACAGAGAATTCCTCAGATAAACACATGCTGATAATTTCATCTGTTTCAAAATCATCCTAAAGAGGAATTCAGTAGGATTCAGGTGCAGACCTTTTCCTTTTTTTTAACTGTTTTGAAAATCCAAGGTTGTAAACATAGAGAAGGTAAAAACCCCTAAGTCTTCGGTTGCTTTCAAGGCTTTTTATTCAGCCTTGGAAAGAAACAAGTACTTCACTTGAGTGAATGGAGAAAAAAAAAAAGTACAGTAGGATGAACGTACCAAATAAAGTCAATGGGCCTAAGTCTCATTACACGTTGGTGATGGTACATGGATTATAAACAGTATCTGTTCAGTCTTGCAAAAAGATCTGTACTAATCAACACTCTCAAGTTTATTCTGTGAAGGTCGAAGATCTACAAATGTGTTCTATGAATCTTCATTTGTGCCCATAGCCTAAGACTTTTACATGTTCAATATTAAAACATACTCTATACACCAATAAATCCAGCATAAAACTCCATTGTGTGCTAATATGTCTACTGCGGTCCTTTCCTTATACCCCCTCATGGGCAGGGAACAAGCACTATAAAAATGCTTTTCACTTAGAACATCCATGCTGTTTTTTAAAAGGACCCTCTTCGATTTTGTTTGCATCCCTGTGGTGTTCATTCTCTCAAAACATCCTGCACCAAGTATTTATTGGCAGAAAACTTCAAAATAGAGGAAAAGCCCACAAACACTTGTTTGTGGAAAGCACTGCCAGAGACTGCTGCAGTGACTCTCCCTCCCAATCTGAAAGCACATACCATGAGCCAACATTTTAAACACCCCGGGCAGATCTTCAGATGGTGTAAGAAAGTAATGCTATTTACCATCATCCTACCTCCACTTTCAGGCACTAAGTTGACTGTCTGAAGTTGCTTCTTTAAAAAGCCAGGACACTCGCTACCTGGATGGCAAAGGACTCCAAACAGATTCTATGAGAAACTTTATTGAGCCTGGAACGCCTCTGGATTTGCACAACAGAGACCAAGAGCTTCAAAACCCTATACCTTATACATTGTGCGTATAATGTAATGTACATTGAAGACATTAATTCAGGTTGAAGTTTCACTCTTGAATTGGCCATGAAAAATATCAGCCATCCTGTGACTATCACTAGAACAACCCGAGATGCCTGCATGACACATTTCAAGAGAATTAGCACTGCGGTATCCAACTTCTGTTCAGCATGGAACATTTTTTACTGTCCTGTAAATGGTACTGCTCATCTAGCAGGTATTAATAACATTATTTTAGCTGCAAGGATCCATGCAGTTTTGTTTCCATCTCTTAATATAACAACACAACATCTCTACTTTGGGAAAAAAAAATAAAATAAAATAAAGTCATAAACAAGATTACCAGAGCAAGAGAGAAAAACAACAACAACAAAAATCTTCCAGTGCCTCTTAAAATGTCAGCTTCATTTTACAACAGTATAATCTTAGCCCTGTAAGTACCAAGCAAGATTCAGACTCCAAAAGAGTACACTATTTGTTTTTATTATACATGTCCATTGGTACTTTGTCATGATGCACAATGTGCCACATCTTCTGCAGCTGGTTCACTGCTGCTCTGTTTTTCAAGTGCTCTGGTATCATCAGAGAATAAATCTAGGCAGCGGATCTATTACACTGATAAAATAAAAAAATAGTAATTTCTAGAGGTGTCTTCTCCAGTCTGTGTGGACATAAAAGGGGGATAACCCAAATCTCAAATGTCCAAGTTAGCAATTTAAGCTCCCTCAACACAAAGCAGGGAGACTCAAGCTCCAACCACAGGCACAACAAAACATTTTACTGGAGGCTCTGCTAACCAGTTTGAGAGTCCCACTCCTGACATCCCCCTTCAGGTTAGATAACCAGAATCACTGGGAATGCTCTCACAAGATCCTTATCAGTACCAAAAGTGGTAAGACAAAAGGGTATTTAAACAGGGCTCTCAAGTGGGATGCCACTCACAGTGCTCCTCAGAGGCTCTTGGGCACGCTCATGCTCATGCACCCAACTTGAAGAAAAGGAAAAAATCAAAGTACAAATAAAAAAATCTTTAGTACCACAGAAAACTGCTGCGTTGGTGAGACTGGCAGGAGATGCTGGGGAGGATAAGAAACTGCTGGATATTGGACTGACTGAGAAGATGGCTGCATTGCCTGAACAGGCTGTAAAATAAACACAGTGAAAGACAATAAATACAACCTACTTTGAGATAGATTATAACAACAGACTCTATTACTTAGAACAAAGATCACAAACACAGCTCTGGAAATGTAGGTGACTCATTGCCAGCCCAAATACAAGAGGTCAGGTATTGCAATTTTAGTCTTCTACCAAACAATTCTTCATTACAGATTTTTTTGTCTATTTTCATATATCTGATGGCTGTTAGATTAAATAAAGCCACAGCTACATCTTCTTATTACTGATGTGAGGAAAAGCCAAATTATGATTTTGCATTTAACTTAGAGGAAAAAATGGAAGAGCAGCACAGTGTAAGAGCATATTTAAATTTTGCTGATAATGACTGATTTAACTTCGAGTGTGTCATAGGCAAAGGAATAACCATAATAAAGCTGCCTTGGCAGAACACAATAGCTTAAAAATTGACAAAGAACAGGCTACAAATTAACAACAGAGACAGGTCTGTCATCTTGGAGCAGATTTTATCTAAATGAAAGAAGAATTTTCTGCAACACTATTATCTTGGAATAGCTTTACTATTCCTTTTGGTTTAATCTTTTATTTAACTTGAGTCTTATACAGTTTTGATACTACCTCCACCTTCTAAAACCACGAGGATTAAATAAAGAAATAAGAGCCAGAAACATGCAAGTTCCAGTACAATTAATACAACTTCACTGAATCTAAACACTGCATTTCTGGGCAACCTGCAATGAAACTATACCAAATTATAAAGCCATACAAAACCCACAAGTAGATCTTGGCCGTTCTGTGAGTAAGAAGGATGCAAGATTCTTGCTTGAGTAGTTTCCTCCGCCTGCCCTTCTCGAGCAGGCAACACAATCCACAAAATTAAGTTTGAATCAGACCCAACACTGCTGCTCAGCCTCAGCCACATATGGCCCCATGCCAAAGCCAGCTCCAGGGGCCAGAGAGCTGATGTACCATGGCACTGTGCCCAAGCCATGCTGCTCTTCCCCTCTCCTACTGAACCTCCAGGAGCTTCTTCTCGCCCAGAGCAGGGTCATAGCCAGAACATGCTCTGGGGCAGTAGCACTCACAGAGTGGCTACACACAGCTTGGGCCTGATTTAACTAGACGTGGAAGGGTTTGCAGAGCCCTACATTGTACTTGATTCTTTGACTCAACCCTGCTGCTGTCAAAAAGGACAAGAAAATGTCTCCAGCTCTTTGGGGAGAATTACAGACTGCACTAGCTTGAGAATGGATGCTTCAGCTTTCATTAATGGGTGATTTTTGCAAAAAATTTACATAGGCAACCTCAACTCAATTAACAGTCCTTTTCAAAACAAAAACATCCTTTAGATGGCATTGAAACTAGAATCTTCCCTCTACATCTGTTTCATCCACACTGAAAATACAGGTCATAGGCTCCACCTGTTTCAAAAGAAAAATATATCCTGATATTTTATCTAGCTGCATCCTTCCCTCCTACCCTTTAAGGTCATCCTTTGTACCCTGAGAGGTTCTTGTTTTCCAGTTGCCACCACACTCACCTGTGTGACAAGATGACTTGCCATTTGCTGCTGTGGCTGTTGAACTTGCTGAGGCTGCTGGGATGAAGGCTGTTGCTGAGACTGTCCCACCATCTGGCTCCTCATTGTCTGCTGGCCACTGGGAGGATTGTATATTGCCGGCGTACCATCAGGATTTACAAAAGGTTGACCTGAAACAAAACACCCTGCCTTTGCTGAACACTTCCAAGAATGTGTATTTTTCTATATGAAATCATACAACCTTATTTTAACTGACTGCTCTTTCACTGACCTGCTACAACAGCAGAGTGCTTGGCACTCTCAAAGCCTCATTACAGTATTGGCCATTTTTTATTTTTATTTTTTTGCAGGCATGACAGACAGCAGATATTTGTTTTGGCAGCATGACTTTCCAAGGAATGGGTGGAAAGTTACCATGGCTGTAAGATGATTCAGGTGCTATGGTTACTTGAAGTCATTCAGTGATGAATCAATTAATACTAAAATTGAACTCTGAAGCAAACACTGGAGGTAGAGAATATTCAATCAAATGTACACAACCACTCCTGACAAAACACTGTTGTTCGTATGGAAAAGCAGAACACACAACCCCACCCTTATTACCTTGCTACTAATTTATTTACACATTCTAACAAAATAGTGCTGTACTTTTGAGAGCTGTGCTCTACGTAATCAGATCATGCAGCCCTGGAAGTTACCAAGGAAAAAAATACTTATGATATCTTTGAAAATATCTTACTAACAGGACAAATTCTGTCCAAAGTTCCACCAAGTTGCTGAATTATTTTTGCTTCAGATATTTTAGCTGGGGAAAGTAACCTTGCAAAAGCAACATTTGTTTAAAAAACCCAAACACTTCACCAAAGTCAGCGGTGCCCTGTGACAGGACGAGGCTAAACAGCACCAAGTTGCAATACTGGAAGTTCCACCTCAAGAGGAGTAAAAACTTCTTTACTCTGAGGGTGATGGAGCCCTGGAACCGGTTGCCCACGTAGGTTGTGGAGTCCCCTTCTCTGGAGACTTTCAAGACCCATCTGGACATGTTCCTGTGTGATCTGACAGAGGTGTTCCTGCTGCAGCAGGGGGGTTGGACTCAATGATCTTCAGGGGTCCTTTCCAACCCCTATGATTCTATGAAGTCATTGTCTTACAAACAAAAAAAATAAATGGTAGGGGTAAGGTTTTCCATGACTTCAGTTCTCTCTAGTTCTCTTTTCACTTCCATCCTAAATTCATAAACTGAAGGAATTAGATGTTCCAGTGGGAAAAAAAAAAAAAAAAAAAAGGGATTTTAGCAATGAAGTGATAACACTTACAGTAGGTAACTAAAGTATGAATGCCTGAGATAAAACTGGAGATCTTGAGGAATTCAGTGACCTAGAGCAATAGTGAAATAACGACCTTCTGACTGGCATACCACAAGCATCTCTACCTGTTCTATGTACTCCTGAGCCTTTCAGTTACTCCCTCTTTTACATACGAGGAGCACTGGGTAAAGAAATCTTGTCTTCTCTCTGGAGAAGACCTGCTGGATGAAGTTGCTGTACTACACTTGGCAAGTCTCACACTCACAGTGAGAAAAGTCATGAATAGAGAGAGTACCTGAGAAGCACAGGGCATATCTGTTCACTAGCTGACTTCCTGCTTCTTCCTGTGAACACACTGGGTGACAATGGTATGGACTCGCTTAATTTGGGAGTCTCAGATTCCAGAAGTACTTCGGGAGACTGGGGAAGTTGCACTGGGTGGAGTGGAACAGGCTCCTGAAGCTTGCGCCACACACTCAAAGGAAGCCATAAGGAGCATTTTCCATGACTCAAGGAAGGATAACAAAATTGAAAGAGAAAAGCTCCAGCAATGCTTTTAAAAATGAAAAAAAAAAAAAAAAAGGCCTTTCATTAAGAAATCTTGAAATAAGAAAAGGAGAGCAGATCGTAACAGGGAAGATATTTGTAAGCTATGAACTGTGGCCCTGATAGAAGGGCAAAAATGGTGATGTCATTTAAAGGAGTAAAAACAAAATATAAATGCTCCTAAACTGTCAAAAGGTTAAGTAACAAAACTTGTCAAGAGGAATCCTTTAAAGGCTAAAACAGACTGTTGAAGCAGGTGGAATGGAGAGCATAGCCACATAAATGGTCCTTTGCTACAGCAAGCAAGATGCTTCTCTATCTGGGGAAGAAGAAACAAAGGAAGCTGAGGATATGGAAAAGGAAGTGTGGACTGTCAACACCTGAGAAGGAGTCGAGAGGTATAATCAGAGCAGGGACATACTGACAGCATCTCTACATGTCATTAGAGGCTTATAATAGTCAGTGACTATGCACCATGAAAGGAAAAAAAGATCTTTAAAGGACATAGTGTTATGATCAAAAGAGAGAAAAAGATTGGAAGTAGCCACTCTGCAAGAGAAGAAGAAAGAGCTGAAGAATGGTGATACACAGGGAAAGAAAATCTATTCATTACAGGAAACAAAGCTCCTTTTTCCTCTTCTTTGAACTGTCTTCTCTTCATCTATGTTTCTGACAGCATCCATCACTTTGATAGTCGATCACAGCATTCAGCAATCTAAGTCTCCTCCCTATGGAGCTTCTTTTGTAATATTACCCTAATAAGATGCAAAGATTCTTAGCCCAAAGAGTGGCAAATTTGCAGCATGTATTTTGCTGCATGTTAAAAACACAGTAGACTCTACAATATAGCTGGATTGCTAGAACAGGTAGCAGTGTGAAGCTGTCTGAGACAAGCGTTTCAGTCTTTAGAAGAATCTGCTCCCTTCATTTTCTTTATTATATAAATGTATTTACAGGGGAACTACAGAAACAAAAAATGCAGTTTGAAACAAATGCTAAACTTCATGAGCACAAAAACACTTGCTCCCTGAATAATAAAAATACTAAGGCACATGGAACACTCAATTATGCCTCTGCAAGACAATAAGGCACGCTAGGAGGGAAGAGCAGATACTTTGCTCTAGTGTCAATATGGAAAGGCATTATAACTCTGGCAGACAAAGACTTCCTAGGTACCAGGGAAAAAAAATCAGCTAGCTCCTGCAAATTGTTACATTGAGAAAACAGATGTAGGAGATGTTTCTTTTAAACAGTGCTGCAGCCTCTGCCCTTGCCCTGGGCAGGAACAAGCACAACCTCTTGGCTGCTCATGGGCTCAAAGCAGCAATTCCTTTCATTTGTTTCTCTCAGTCTTATCACCTCAATTATGGATGGACTTCTGCCTAGGCCTGCTGAGTTTTGTACAGTAACAAACCACAGAGCACACAAAATGCCTTCTGTATTGATCAAGAAATTCCAGTGTTGGCTATCAGAACAAGATAAACGAGTAAATTACTAACAACGGGTTTTGCCTTCCCTCCCATTCTGCCTTCTCCTTGAGGAACTTCACAAAATGACTAAAATCCCCACTTATGCTGACAGCATTAGGCTCTCATATCAATAATGTAGTAACTTGTAAAAAAGTAGGCAGAAATACTAAAGGCTTTAATAACGTAAAAAAGTAGGCAGAAATACTAAAGGCTTTTAATTCCACAAATGTGTTTTTCTAAGTCACCTCTCTGGAATGATCATAGCACATTTGAATCTAAAGAAACAATAACTCCTCCCTGGTTTTATATACAGTGGTATGTATTGATCAGTACTAGATACTGTTATCTTTAAATGTCTGTGCAAAGTTCGGTATAATAGCCTATCAAGGCTGTGTTTTTCTTAAGCACTGCAACTTTCAGTTTTTCTTTACTTCATTCTGATTAAAAAAAGTATTTTTAGCAGTGAAATCACAAATAAGCAGCAGCAAAATATTGTAACACTGGGGTGCAATAAACAGAAAATATTGGCTATAAATAAAAATCTCCAAATCAAAAGCTCCCTAAATGCTCTTCCAAGGAGTTTGAAAAAATATGTTGGAGTTCAACTCTCAGCTCTCTGTATAATGGAAAATACATTGCACTGTAGGCTTTGTGATTTTAAACCCAGTATAACTCAGATAAGGTTGACAGCCAAGCTAGTCATGGTCACTGAAATAGTCCAAATCACTGAAGGAGCATCAGAGTCTCAACCTCCCTGAACCTTTTTAAAGCTGTCAGCACAACACTACAGGGAGCAATAGTGTAACATTATCCAGACTTCATCTGGATCGGGGAGGTAACAAATTGCCTCAAACTTTCAGCAAGCACTCAGGTTCAAGCTGAGTGGTTTCTGAAGCATCCACAGTGCTTGGGTGACTGCAAATGCCTCCTTGTTCAAGCATCACAACGCTGCTAACTGCTCAGGCCACGATGCACAATTGAGGAGATTATGATTTTTCCTTATGACAATAGTTCCAATTTAAATACAACTGCTGATCACATCAGGAAATTAACTCGAAAGTGCTAATTTAAATGCAGCCTCTATGCCTTTTGAAAATTCTTTTGCTGTTAAGCACAATCTCCAAAAATTTGAGCATACAGTGGATAGGGAAGAGTGTCTGTCCTTATTGCAGCTAACGGGATCTTGAAGGATTCACAAGCAGGGAGTGCCAGGACTTTACAAGATGATTATCCTGTCTGGAACTGCTTGAGTGGGCTGGCTTCCCACTGGCTGTACCACAGGAGCCTCAGAAAGCTATTCCAGCTTTGCCTGCAGAATCAGAAAAACAATCTGCCAAATGCCATTTCTGCATATATTCGCTGCTTGCTTCCTTGTAAAAAGTGTCTCAAGGAAAGTATTACTAGAAACATGATATTTGCCAATTCCCCAGATGACATCAGAAAGACTCAAGGACAGCATCATACTGACCTGTGTGTGGGTTGAGAAGGATACTGCCAGGTGGTATCCCTGCAGCTTCAAGTGGAAGAATGATATAGCTGGTGTTGCTGGGGGCCACCTGGCCACTCATCCCATTCTCAGGGTAGGACACACTGCCTGAAGAGCCGGCTGTCACCCCAGGGACAAGAGATGCACTTTGGAGAGGCTGATGTATTCGTGACAGGGATCCTGAGGAGCCAGCACTGCTGGAAGACTCTGAGCCTAATGGAGAGACACAGCAGCAGCAGAGGGGTTACAAGGGACCCCAGTCTCCATCAGAAACAGTGTGTAGGCGAAGACAGCAGTCACATACTGCAAAGGCAAGCACCATTACATGCCCAGCTAGCAGGAGTGGGATTTTCACTCCCTACTGAGCTCAGTATCCAGTGGTATTTCTACAATTCAGAAGACCACTTTCCTCCCTCGACAGGCCAGTACACAGCTTTATCAAGCAGAACACAAAAAGCTCAGCACATATTCATAATGCTAAAGTATTAGTTCATAAGGTACAAAAACTAAACACTGAAAAAAAACCCAACAAAAGAAAAAATCCCCACAATCATCAAACATTCTCTGTAGAAAAAAAATAAACAACCAGCAACTGAGTTATCAATCAAGTAATAACGTAGCTATGCCATATGTATATTAACTTAAAGCTATCTAAGATGCTACCTGAGACTTCTACTACTTTGTTTTTTCAGCATTGAAATTATTAAACTAATAGATCAAGATAAATCAAATATGCTAAAACACATTAGTGCCTGGGAGGATTGGGAAATGCCTTATTTTAAAAACCACATATAATTGCCAAACTTCAGAGGTTTTACTTGATTAGGTTTCAGTTTGCTTTGTGTAAAAATGACAAGAACCTCTGAGAGTGTAACGCTCACATGAACAGCGTCTTTAAAGCAGGATGTTACAGCAAATATCAGGGAGGTGTGAAAGCAAATGTCTTTATGAATGTTTCCTTCCAAAAGTAAAGTATATGTTAATTGCAACTTCTTTTATTTTACTTCTGTGCACTGTCTATGCACCTTACATTGATTGCCAGCCTCCCTAGTGCTCTCCTGCAGGTGTAGACTAAAGAAACGGCAAAATGGAGATTTAGGTTTCAGCCAACTTCTTAGCAAATTACATCCCTTAATATTTGTGATACTACAGAAGGACCCTGAAGTAAACTGCTTAGAGCCTTGGATTAGATTTCAGTCAAACCCATATTGGAATTCATTTCTTTCTTCATAATTAGAGCAAGCCAAGTTTCCTCTGAGGAAATCACACCAGCATCCTGTTACTTAACAAATAGAGGGTCTTTTCACAGATTACTACAGATTTCTGTGTAAAACACATTTCTATCTTCAAAATTCATATCTGTACAGCAACTATTACAGACACAGTCCTCTTGATGAGCTTTGCTATCGGCAGGACCCTAAATCTGCTTCTCCAGTATCTAATCAAGAAAGGCAGAGATGTCAGAAGAAATCTAATTTCTATAAATACACTTCGAAGTTGCATTAGTTGCTGTGTTCTTCCTTTCCTTGCAGACTGAGGTTGAAAATTTAGAAATATTATTCCTGCAGGGGTAGTGTTAGTTATTGGATCATTTCAGATTTCAGTGTTTCTACAAATTGCAGAGATATTCCTGGAGGTCATCAAGCTGAAAGTGTTATCTGGCATCTTCCTCACAAGTAAATGCAACCACATGGGTTTAATTTTTTTTCTACAGCAGTTACTAGGATCCTTCCTGCATTTTTCTAGTCCTTCTGAATGCACTTCATGTCGCCCCTTTCAGTCTTTGGTTGACTTTCTCCTCTTTTCCAACACTTGTTAAATTCAGTGTGTTAGAAAGCCACCTCGAGATGCAGGAGCAATGATCAGATTTCATAAACATTCCATATCATTTCTAAGCACGGAAGTAGTACCAAGACTGAGTTCAGACCTCTCTCCTCTTTTAGCTATACTGAAGAAACACCATTAGCATAAAAGAAGATTGCAGCTCTGGTATGTTGCGTTTTTTTTATTTGCCCCCTTGCAGCTGTTTTTATGGCAGAGTCATGGATTGATCTGTACCAGCTTCTGAACACTAAAAGCCAAAGGACTGCAATGAATTCAGATGTACTCATCGAATGGTTGGCAGAAGCAGTGGAACAACCTCAGGAGCTATCATGACACGTTGGCCAAGATGACAGCTTTGAAATTGCCTGGCTTAAAAGATCAGAGATCTGCCCTCCTCTGTCAGTAAGTCGAGCTGGTGATTTTGAAAGCATACAAATAAGACACTAAATCATTTCAGCAATTTTCTGAATGTTAAAAAAAACCCCACAAAACAAAAACCACAGAAATTACTACTTAACCAATTTTCTCCCCATTTCTCCTATATAAAAATAATCTATTTAAAAATTTTAACATCACTACAACCAGTTTCCTATCAATTTAATCTAGATGTATTAAGCTAAGTAAATTCCACCACTGATATTTGGAAATTAACACCAATTAATCTTGTCTTTGTACCTTCCATTAGCTGTTTTCACAGCACCTAAATTTGGAATAAGAAATCTCCACATAATGAATTCAGTGCTGCAGCACACGAAGAAAGAATTAACTATCTGACGTTATTCATATTCACATTAAGAGAGGTCTTGCTAAAGACTTCTGAAAGGAACTTTGATTAAACGAGATTTTTGCCCCCATTACACAATCCAACCTCTTTTTTTTCAGTAGGTAATGATGGCTACTTTTTCTAGATTCTTCTGTGATTTTCTTTCTGCTTCACAACTGACACAGTAATAACCTTCATATTCTCATCATTTTCCATTAATACATTTTTTAAGTATTCTGAGAGATATAGCAATTCAAAAAGTGGTATAAGAGACAGAAAACTCACCACAAAGTCTTAATAGCTTAGGGGGATTGTGGAGGCAGAGCACGGAGGTCCCATTAATTTTCCAATATCTTGAGTGCTAGTAAGTGATACAAAACCTCTTGCTCTGTTTTCCTTGGGTCAGCATTCAGTATCTGATGACATTGAATATCTCTGTTCACTCCAATTGCAAGGTAAATTTTTTTGTCTTATCAATTGGACTCAAGATCTACTCACTACTTCCTCCAGATGGTAAATTTTTAGGAGCAGTACAGTGCTGATCACCTCTAAGTATTTTTCTCTTGGATAAAGTTTCTTGGCTTGGGAATATTTATCAGCCACTTTTATAAGTCAACTGCATTTTTGTATATTACAAAGTATTTACAATTATTTTATATGATGGTGTGTGCTCACATGAACATGATTATTCCTCTGCAAGTTACATTTCTAAAAATAAGATTGATGTCTCAGCACAGTTGGTTGGTGGGAAGAGGATGACTGAAAGCAGTTGGCTCATGACTTCTTGCCCATACATCAACATTCCTACAGTTTCACTTGGACTCACAAGATCCACCAGGCTAATGATCAATTAAAGAAAATAATAAAGAAGTAGAGATCCAGCTCCAAAATCGAGAGACATAATTAAAATTTACAGGGTACTTTAAATATATCTATATTTATATACATGTAAGGTTAAAGTACTGAAATGGCTGTGGTATAATAATCTTCTCCCAACAGCAGTAGCAATGAATACCTAACAGGAGAGATTAAACTGTGGCTTGGATTACTTGGAGCCCTGCCAAGGAAGTTAATGATCCCTACAGATCTGTATCAACACAGCTGATACCCCAGTGCAGACAGCTTTTTGTAAACAGGAGGGAAAGGAACACACTCCAACAGATGTGGATTCCACTCGATGGAAAACGCATTCAGAGAACCTAAAGATTCAATAGTTACATCTTTTAAGTCTTCCAACAATCACTTAAATTTATATGTAGATACACAGAGGACATTTCCGGGAAACATATCTTGACTTCCTTCCTAATAACGTACATTAAAACCTGTTGGAATGTGTCAGTGAAAATAACATGGTACGTGATAACCTAGATTTTCTCTTCATGGGTGTACTAGAGAATTAACAGGTACATCTCTGATTACTTCAGGTAGGGACATATTTAACATGCTTAGTCAATCCTGGAAAGTCCACTGTATTACTGGAAATCTAAACTAACCAAATTTGTATGACCAATTATTAACTCCCCACTTGATACTGAATTATAACATAATATTTCTCTATATATCTACTAAGCTTCAGAATGACCAGAAAAGTTTATTTCCAGTACACCACCTCTGCTTTTTAGTGGAAGAGGGCTTTCTAAACAATCAACAGGTACATTAAAATAACCATCGAAATCACCAAGATAAACATACAAAGGATTTCAAACAACCCCTTTTGTGAAGTTTGCAAGAATGAAGTTGCATAATTCCTTTGCTAAGCTCTAATTTCTATGCCACTGAATGCAAGTAAAGCCTAAGACTAACTGACACTACTGGACTCAACTGCAGAGAACAGCACATTCTATGATCTGTCTTTGCCAAAGGGGAGGTAAAGTGCTTCAGTTTCTGTTTGTTTGCTATGTACCACTAATTACTGATTTATCAGAAGTTAAGGTTAAGGGCAGAGCATTTAATTTTGGTGACAATAGCAAAAATTATCCAGAAAGGCTACAGTTCTAATACTGCATCACTATATATGCTCTCAAATCCAGCTGTGAGCCATTAGTAAAACTCCTTGAAGTCTTAGTATTTCAATGCTCAAGAAACATGTTTAACAATGCTTCTGGATGAATCTCCTATATGTAGAATTATTTTCACATTTAAAATAGTCACAAACATTTTCCATCATTTAGTCAACAAAGAACATTTTGACCTACTGTTGACTTCAGACTGATTTTGTACACCCTGTATGCAGGACAAAAATGTATTAAATTTATTACCATGAAGCATAAAGGACTTCAGAGAATGGATTAGTACTTTCTGCATAGGAGAACCAGGACAAAATTGGTGCCTACCAAGCTCTGTCATACTACCAGGGCAGCATGTTGCATGTTCTTAGCTACACCTCTGCTATTCCATTTCAATCACTGTTGTAAAGACAAAACAAAATAAACAAAATCACGCCCAAACAAAACCATAATCAAGCTTTAAATATGTATTGAGCTTTGAAATGCCAAGCACTGCCTATGACTGGAGTACAGTATGATGATGATCTGATGCAAAAACATGCACAACGAAGTGTCACTTGGTACCTAATGTACCTTAGAAAACACATGCAAATGGCATGTGGGGGCTCTGACAGCTGTATGAATGCACCCAGCATTTATTTTTTTTGTGAAGTGAAAATGGTTTATCAAGGCATATTTCCTCATTATTTTTTTGAACAGTCATTCTTTTCTGCTTTAATGCCATCCAATAACATTTCAATAGCAATAGCGATTCAGATACTGTTTCCTCTGACTTTCCTCAGGCTGACTGACAGCTTGACTTTGTGTCCTGGCTTTGAAAGTGTAAATTTGTTTTGATATCCAACCTTGCTCTTTTTCCCCATCTCTTCCTTTTATTTTTTCTTTTTTACTCTTTCTGTGCTTCAACTGGCTTTCAAATTTAATCACTTTGCTTATATAAAATAATTCAAAGGACTTACAATACGTAAGTACTCTGCAAAGAACATGGAATTTTACTATCACTGATGTTTTAAAAGTGCCTTGTAAGAGCTTCCATTTTAAAGCAATTTTCAGCGTGGTGCATACACTGTGCAGATGCATTTACAAGTATTGGCATGCTTCAGAGAACTCTCCTTTAATACTCCATTTTCTAAGTGCACACTTTAATATGCTTGATTTTAACACTAAACAGCTACTTAAAAGTGTAAGTCTTTTGCAATTAGATGTTTCAACCCTCCTAACTGGACTTCCCTGACATAATTTTAAATGCTCTGCTCCTCTTCAACACAATGCTGCAGAGAAACATTTAGCTGCACTCACCTGAAGGTGAATATTATGAAAAAAAAATTATACCAGAAAACTGAGCCTCCTCCCTCACTCATGCACAATAAATTGAATTCTGATGCAATGGAAAGATTCACAGGAGGCAAAGCAATCTAGAGGTAAAAACATGGTCTACTGGATACTTCAGGACCCACTGTACAGCCTGTTCAGCCTTGATGCAAATAAAAAACACAGAAGCCTGGTTTCAAAACTATGTACCAAATTATTTCATTGCCTCGCATACGCTTATGCTCAGGAACATGCTAGGGGAACTATGCTGCACTATATTTCAAAGTCATATTATTGTCTTAATTCCATAGGATTTCACATACATAATGATGGAGTAAAACTGAAGGAGAATCTTATCTCTGGAAGTGATCCTTATAGTTTGCTTCCCATTTGAGATATTCCAACTTGGGATACAAATCTTAAGATTATAAACACAGTATTTGTCTACATTCTCAAAAGAAACATAAAATAGAAACATTAAGAAGAAGGGGCAGGATATTCCAGAAGTTCCCAGCAGTTTTATGACAAGCAGGGTTTGAAAGAGTGGCTCTCCAACCAGTCAGGGTCCTCTACCACTGTGAAATATAAGAAAACTTAGAACTATGCTCAAGATCCAGAGGTCCAGAATGTAGCTACCAAGTCAAAGGTTTTCTCAATTTATTCCAAAACGCCATTCCCCAGCATCCTGAATCATGGCAAGGGCTACTGTAACATTTTGGATATAGAAGTGAAATATGACCAACCCAGGTCTGATGAACCATTTTTAAATTAAGTACTGTCCATAAAACACTCAGGCTGAAAAAGCACTAAGTGCTAAGTATTGATTGCCACTTGTCCTGTACTATATTTATCAAATGAACCAAACTGATTGAATCATCTGATGAGCTCATTATTTATTATCCACTTTTACACAAAAATGTAATAGAGTAGCTTAATGGCATGGCTTAAAATTACTTAGATCCAGACTCCCTCATATGTTAACGTACCTGTGAAGTTAATGCAAATAAAAGCAGAATTCACACCAAATTCACAGTCCCTAATGGGTACTAAACAAGAAAATGGAGAGACTGAGACACCTCTGTGAATCCAGCACTTCTGACTGCTGCCACCACAGCACACTGCCTCATCTGCCAGCAGCAACGGAGAGGCAGTGCTCCACTATACAGAGGGTCTGCATTTTAAGAACAACAAAACATTCTTGGGTTTTCTCATCAGATATGACATTCAGCTCTTCTCAGTTCAATAAGAGTAAGAACAATAAAAAGGTAAAATCTGTGCTTTGTCTGAAAAGACTATTATCTTCTGAGACTACAGCAACTGCAGACAGTGTTCAAATACAACGCGTGTATCCTTTATTCCAGAAAAAGCCTACCTCACCTAGGATTTGCTAACCTCAGGCACCAGGTGTTCTTCTTGATTCCTAAAAACTCAATACCAGGTACCCAGATACCAGTGTAAGTAGATGGACATACACATCTGCTAAGCACAGGAAATACAAATGTTCCTGTAATTCATCGTATAGCCCAGCCACAGGCATTGGACTACACGACCTCTGAGGGTCCTTTCCAACGCAAACCCATTCTCTGATATACCATATTGAGACAAGCACCAGTACAGCTCTTCACCGTGGCACAACAAGTGGCAGTGTGAACCCAATACAGTACTAACTACCTGTTTTAGACAGTTTGCCGGTACTTCTGTTACTTGATGAGCTATCACCTCTTGTCAGGACGGTTATCCCACCAAAACTGGCTGTCTTTGTTATGGCTGGCTTCAAATTTCGATTTGAGCTGTCTGAGTCTGTGCTGCTCCATGGTCTCTGGTGGTCTGTCCACTTCAATTCGTTCTCCGTACTGCTCTGCCGACTGCCAGATGCCTTCCCCGTGTTGTCTCTGTTACCCCTATGGACACCAGGAAACAAATACTTATACACAAATAAAATAACGTCAGGGCAGAGTCTACCTTTGGTTACCCTGCAGCAAGGCTAATCAAGAAAAATGAAATACCCTGAATTTACCGAAGCATGCCTGAAAGAGGGGATTCAACCCCAGTACTCATCTGCCTTCAGCAAGTAAACATTCCTGTACCCTTTTACATGCACACTTACCACTGCTCCCCTTTCACATACTTCCGAAGAACACTTCACCAGATAGGACTGATGGAGTCATGTTAAGTAGCATGGACACAGCACTTCTGTTGCTTGTTGACTGGTCTCTTCCATTAGCAAACCCCTCACTGCCTTTCCCTTTGATGTCCACCATCTGTAAGGTTTTTCTCACTAACTTCACCTTCTACATCTGCCTTTACATCCATCCTTCTGTATTTCTACTGCAGCTTGTGCCACCTCATAATCTGCTCTGAAAAATCACCTAAACCTCCCCCTAAACATGTGTCTTCCCAGTGAGACCCTAAACTCTCCATTAACACTCCACTTAAGAAACCCACTACTTGAGGCTTTTTTTCCCCTCTGACATCAACTAATTGCAAACATCTCTGGGTAGAGACTGTCTGCTCTTGGAACATTTGCAAAGCACACAATATATACTGTGAGTGACAACACAGTTAACTGTGAGCAGAAACCAGAGGTGAATTTGGCTTATTTATAGTGAACTGCTTAAAATGTGCTGTTAAAATGACAAGACAAGCATGCCTACCACAGCTTGGTACAATACAACCATTATGCCAAGTGACGCTAAAAACACTGGCTTTTGGGAGGCTTTTAGAAGACATATGCCACTTGTCTGCCTTATTTTACAGTATACCTTGCAGGCTCAAAGTTCTTTCTACAAATCGAACGCATGGCACTGTATCTGTTTTTCTGGTGCCCTTTCTCCTTGTGAACGTGGGTCCTGCTTTTTATTTGGAGAACCTGCTGAGCTTTGTCACTCGAGACGTGAAGGAGCAGCGTGTCAAAGACGGGTTCAGGCTGGTGTGTTCCTCACCTGTGATCAGAGCCTCACACAGAGGAGATCATCAGTATTAACTTGTTGATCTTTGCTAGACCCAAACACTGGGAAAGCATGAAGAGAAATGGCACAGAAGCAACAATATAGAAAAGAAAAATATTTTAAAATAAATGGTCCTTAAATTTTAATTGGAAAGAGAAAAACAAAGCATATTATTTACATACACTGTTGCATTCATCTGTGGTTTCAGGTTATACTAAATGCCTTTTTGTTCCCCAAACCTGAACAAATATTAGTTACTAAGAATCTCTGCATGGGTTATTTCAGATGCCTCCTTACTTCTGATGCTCAGATCATCAAGGCCAGCCCAAAGCATGAAGGAAAGTTTTGCTGCATGCTGCCTGTGGCCATGGGGCACAGATCCAGATGCCGCAGCCCTGCTCCTTCCCTGATGCAGTCTTGCAACCTCCTCTGTGGCTGCTGTGCAGACAGGCACAGTCAGCAACTGCATGCCAAATAATCCCACCTTCTTCCTCCCCACAGCGAAAAATTATGCAGCATAGACCATACAGGTTTGAAGTAACCAACTATCACTGCTATGTATGAAAACCTCAATGCATACAAACATGTGGTGATCACCGTTCTTCTGCCCAGCTATCCACATGCTTTACAGGATGAAAGACATGTTTTTGAAAGCATCCATTACTTCTGCCAGCTCTGCTACAGACTAGTGGCAGCCAACTGACTTTAAAAGCAGTTTGCAATGCTCAACTCTGCTCAATTTGACCTGAACCTGGGGGTGTGGAAAGAGAGCCTCCCTAAGCCTCTTGGAGGAACACAGTCACCACCAGGCTGGGTCTTCCACTGATGCTGTTTGTCAACTGATAAAAAATTTCTCCATTAAAATATGGACTGACTCCTACTGATTTTCCCTGTGACCTGGGACATGATCTGGGATAAGGGATACATTTGAATGTTGTCTAGGGAGAAGCAATTGGGAGTTTGGAAGACAAAGATCACAGCAAAAAAAAATTCAAAACATTGCTGCTTTAGAGAAGGGAGCTTCCATCAGTTACATGTCATCATACTTTTACGTTAGCTTTTAATAAATCAACAAAAGGAAAAAAGGTCAGTCTGGGCACTCATCTGTGAAATGTGCCTGTCATATATACTAAAGCATCATGAACTTCCACCAGTCACAGTGGCAGTACGAGCAGCCGGGAAGCTGCAAATCTGATATAGTTCCTGAGCAGAATGGATCCATAAAACCAAAGACAAGGGGAGGTCCCACTGTGACCTCCTCATTCAGGGGATGAACAGGGTAAGAACTCTGTTTTCCATGCTCCTTTCCAACCAGAAAAGTGACATAACCACACCCGTCAAGGTCTTCCTCAGTGAGGACATTAATAAAATCACAAGTGAGACGTTACTGGGAAATTAATATTAAATAAAGTCATACAAACCTAAACAGCTGTCTTTTCTTGTGCATATCACTGCATATACTACTGTCTTCCAACAGCCTACTGAAAAATGAAAAGAAAGATTATAGTAACAGAAATTGTAATCCAACTTTATCTTACCTGTAAAGCTATATTCAAATTCTATCAACCTTTTCCATTTTGTGCTAGACTCATAGTTTAATAAAACAAGGCTAAAATTGCCCTCTCTCTCCCCACCCCCCAGAACTGCACAGTCAACTAAACATAAGAAATATCAGTCAGGGAGGCTGAAGGCCATTTAACATTTCCTGTTACCAAGCAAGGTAATTCTCAGAAGCCAAGAAACCATAAATCTACATCCAAAAGAAAATTCATTAAAATATCACCCAATAAGAGCATTAAAAATGTAAGCCATCAAAATACTGCATACATAAATTTAAGCACTTGCTAAGTTGCTTGGAAACCTCTGCAGCTCAGAGAAATGCTCAGGTTCTCTGATAAAAAAGAAAGGCAAAACATTTAAACACATCCCTAACTTTCAACATACCAAATCAACAAGGTTGCTCATGTGCAGGGAGCTAGGTATGACTTCAAGTGCTTCACCTGGTCAAAAGCTACACAGAAGGCAGGCAGCAACAAAAAGCAGTGTTCTGGGGAACACAGCTGCAGTCTCTCTCCTGACATCAGCTGTGCAGTCAGTAACAGAAGCCAAATTTCCAACCTGGCCATGTGCTGGTCACCACTTGGGTATGCATCCTCACATTGGGAGAGCTGGTCAGCCAGCTCATGGGTTTGAACAAAGTGAACCAAGTACTAACACCAAAACTGGCTACATTCTTTGCCATGCAGGCTTGGGATTGAATGTATAAACCAGTGGAGGCCTAGCTGTGAAGTTAATGGTTTATGCCATAAACATCTCCACCCTGATCTGCACAGTGCCTGAACACTTTCCATACTGAGTTTGGAACATGAACCACCACATCAATTTTATTGTTGTTCTCCCAAGAGGGAAAAGCAGGTTTATGGGATCATCATCTTTTTGCTTTCTGGGCTCCTCTGTTGAATGTTTTATTTATTTTGATTAAACATGTTTCCACAGTCACAATGCAGAAGCAGCAGCTGAGGAAAACAACCTTGGCTCTCAGAATACATGGTGGTTAGGTGACAGTGGCCATTACCACCTGAGGGACTTCCCTCATTCCAGTTTCAGGACTGTGCATCAGAAAAGCCAGTTTGTATTATTACCGTGGAGTAATTTTCTATGGGAAACAGCCTTATCCATAAATGCATCTGACAGATATAAACATGGACAGAGAGAGAAATACTGTGAAAGATAACCTCCCCTTCCTCAAGGGGATAACAAACAGTTTTAAAACCTTCCCAGGACAGATTCAGGCTAGAACTGCTCAAATATCACCACTGAAATTCTTAGTGTTTTAGTTAAAATCCTTATCTGCCATAAAAGTGCACAGTGTCTAAGACTTTCAACACAGCTTCATGGCTACTACAGAGCTAACACTTTGTATTTGGTAGATCTTAGTTAAGCAGAGTTTTGTCTTCCTTTTGCATAAAATGGATTTACTGTGAAAAAAACCCAAACATCTCTATCACACAGTAGTGCAAAGCAACAGTTGGCTCAGAGATCACCATTTCATTCATCACTACAATGCAGCAGGAAAGCAGGTCCAGCCTGGGGGACTTGGGAGCCTTCCTCAACAACAAGTGAAGTCAGTGCTAGTGCTCAGCCCCACAAGAGAGCTGGACACAACAGAAACACAAGTGTGGTGTTTGATACATGCCCTCACCAAACCACTGCTGGAGGGCTTTTTAAAGATCAGTAAGTTAAATTCTAAAGGGCACTCCAGAGATACATTGAGCACTTGAAGTGAAACATTCAGTGAGTTCCCCTCCTGCCCTACCCTACTTTTTTAAACTGAAATGCAAAGTCTTGGGCAAGCAGTAGTAACACCTTATCTGCTCAGATACAATACTGCAAGGCAATCCCTTCTCCCCCTTCTTAAAGCAGAAAAACTCTACACATAACACAGATTACAGATTTGCTCTACAGCCTTCACATTAGATTAAACAACTATAGAACTAGAGAGAGACAAAATAATGAGAGAGAAAGAGCTAAGTTTAACACACACACACAAAAAAGCTATTTTTACCTGTTTTCCACAAAAAGGTTTTCCTGGGAGCAAACTGACTGAAAAATAAAAAAGGCATTGTATCAGACGTTCTAGATATGCTCTGCTGTTCCAATTCCTTGCTCAATTTTAGAATTATTTCCCCTGTTCAGGCTTAAGGGGATTTCAATTCATGCATCATTTGCATTTGCAGAAGACAAGAGGGGAAAAAAGGTCAAGAATAAGGTCAGGCCAGTAAAATAAATTCCATGCATTACAACATATTACCAACGAGGGGTCTCAGCTTGGAAACAAACTGAGAGCAGAAGGCGGCGGTATGTGCAAAAGACTGGCAATTCAAAGGGAAAATACATTTCTCCTTCATAACATATGGCTCCACTGGTCTGCCCTACCATCTCCAAATAAGATTGCAGAATAGCACAGAGCTGCAAGTAGGAAGGACAAACAGGAGGAAAGCATGCAGAATTGACAAAGTTCTTCAAAGGGAGAGAAGATACTGCAGTACTTAAAAATACTTTGTGATTTCACATTTTATGGTTGGAAACAGTCATACCCATACTGAAAGATAAAATAATTATAATCATCTTAATAAAAATACTAACAACAGTAATAGTCTATTGCAAAGAAGTTCTCTGCTGGAGGACTTAGATCCTGAGAAAGGTGAAGAGCTGTTGGCAAGTGTATAATTCTTATAGCGTTACTTAATTTCTTATGCAGAGAAATGAAGCTGTGCTCAATTTCCCATGAATAATTCTCTCTGATTTTTTTTTCATTTCCCTCCTTTTCCATGTTCACTACACAAAGTACCTCATAGCTGTCACTGAATTATATCTCCATAAGGTACAGAAGGAAGGACAGTCAGCACTTGCACTGAATTGAAACAAGAAGCAGGCACCAGAGATCACGCCCATTACTTCTGTAACAATAGACCTCAGCTCAGAGAATAATGCAATGCCATCATTAGCTGCATCAAATTTTAATAGTATGGGACTTGCATGGATTTGGGATGTTTCTGTTTTGAAAAGGGTAAGCTAATGACCTACTTGAAGAGCGCTGACCAACACAAGAAACAACACCCTGCTCATTCCCAGTGCTCCAGCAGATGCATGGTCAAAGTTCTCCCTTAGCACTGCAGCCAATGCCATACCATCAATTTAAACAAGGATGGAATTTAGCTCTGAGAAAGCAACACAGTTTCTTGTTAAAGCTGTAATCTGTCCACCCAGTATCCACATCTGGGAACATCTGACAGCTCTGTGGGCTTCCCAGCTGAGCTCTCACCCTGCACTCTAACTATGCAAGGCTCTGGGCTGCATTGGTAGCAAGTGTGTCTCTCCTTAGCACAAACCATCAGGATATCAGGAGCAAGTTCTCCATTGCCAGGTACCAAATTTCTACCAGCTACAACCAACCTAAGGTTTCACCCCAGGCCAAGAGCAGACACAAACTATTCCACTTAAAAGCACTGGGATTCTTTGCAGAACACTAGGACATGGCCTCTTCTCTCATTTCCTATACCTTACTCACAAGGTTTCATTAACAAATGTGGCTGTGCAGATTTCAGCATAGTCTAACTACCTACAGGACTAATGAAATGACCCTGCAGGCTTATTCAACCTCAACTGTGGGGCTGTCTCCCCACTCTGAGGTACATGACAGGCATTTGTGCATTGTTCTCACTTTTCCAAAGCAGCATCTATAATTGTAGCTACGCTTCCAAAACAAGGAAGTAAAAAACTTTGCTGAGGCCAGGGTACTGATCTGTGTCCCCACAAAGTTACAAAAGCAAAAGGACATGTACCTTTCTGGAATTTTTTATTTTATTTTTTCAATTTTTTAAGACATTGGGTCATAAAGCAGAGTAAATGTCTAGGATTTGTACTTTATCAAGTGACTGGAGACATCTGCTCCCTTTTCAGTGTCTTGACAGAAGAAGCCAGTATCAACTGCATTATAGACTTAAAGACAGAGTCTGCAATAACTCCATTTGTCTTCCTGGCTGATGATGCTGGGCACAGGGCCATATAGTTCCTGGGAACCATTTTTCAGTAGAGGTGTGAGGATGAGAGGCAGAGAAGACAGGTACTTTTTAATAATGTTATTCTTACTGTTAAAAATCAGGTGGCTAAGCAGCTCTGAATACCAATTTAGCTGCTACAAGGTCAGAACTCACTTTCCAATAATGCACCATTTAAAGAACCAAGAAAGCTTAAGAACACAGCACAGCTGCTGTCAAAAATTCTTAAAGCACTTGGCTCTTGTATACTTAAAGAATCTACAAAAAGAAAAAAGTTATGCAAGATTACCTACAAATTCACCTCCTTGGAGACCTCCACATGCAAGATTTCCATTAGGGTGCTCTGTGACACTTATTGTCATTTATGACATGAATATTTCACTCTTCCAGTTTCCCAGAATCTTTTAAAGTCTCAACTGGAAAACATACATCGGCTCTGTCAGTGCACTAGTTATACTGTCGGTTGCTGCTCTTGTTTTTAATTACATTAGCCAACACAGATAAATATTAACATGCAGCAGTATCCTGCAGTGGATACCATCAGGTAATCATTTTCACATCAGTTAACAAGATGTGATAGATCCCAGGCTTTCAAGTAATGCTTATTGCTTGAACTACAGCCACAAACAAAGGCACGGGAGTTTATGGTAGCCAACACAAGGTATGTCTTTATTTTTATGAATTTTAAAACCTCTTAATCCTAATATTTTCCTACTAGAAGGATAGGAAAGGCTGAAGACACCTTTTCAAATATTTCTTTTGTGACTTTCTTTATTTAAAGAATTATAAAGAACCTCAGTGTTTTCTTAAGGAGAGGAATCATTTATCTAAAGGATCTGGCTCTTGAGAATACATTCCTTACTCAAAAATAGCCATTACAATTAGCAGCAACAACAAAAAAAGAGGATGGTGCATTTCCTTTAGTAAGTCCCATGTGTATCATGGGCAATTCTAGCATTTGTGCTAGAATTAGTAATAAAAGTAATAAAACATCTATATTTTTCAGTAAATCCACAATGATTACTAGAGAATACATTTATGAACAATAGATGGTCCTTATGTGATTCTGGCTCATGAGGTTATACATTGCATTAAGCTCGAAGAATGAAATTTTCCCTATGCAATTTGATTGCTAGTCTTTAGAATCAATTTTCTGCATGCTTTAAAGCCAAACGTAGTGTACCATTTACACACACATTTGGGATTCTGAGATAAATCTACAATTTCAGCTAATACACAGGGGAAGTACAAAATATCCTTTTTTTATCATTCTTTGAGATTGCTCCTTGTCTTTCTTGGACAATTACTTTTCAACCTGCTAAAAGCAACTAAGACAATTCAGACAAGAAACTTCTTTGCAGGACCCAGATACTCCCAAGTCCTCTGCTCCAGTGAACTTGGGTATAAAATTCACAAATTACTATAAAACTAAGGTTCCAACAAAAGCATGTTTTAAAAAGGAAGGTTGAAGGCTTTGCAATTAAAAAACAACCACGAAAATAGCTTGGAGCATAACAGAGCTTACGTAGCATGATTTTACTCTTAGCAGGCTGAAAAGTTTGAGGTGCACTTTTTAGTTCTTATTTAAGTGAGCTGCAGTGATCACATTTAATAACTGCCTATTTCTTCACCAATCTTTTTATTAAGATATGACACTAACATGCTTCTCAATCCCTGCTGCTTGCTATAACTCTACACATGACAGGAGTGACTAAAACCTCCAGCTTCCCTTGTCAAAATTTATGATAGCCAACACGGCAGATGGAAAACTTGCCAGAAAGTATAATTTAAACTGACTAATACAAGACCAATCACTGTAAGGTCTATCATAATGATGGCATTACTCATGAACATATTTATTTCATTAAAATCTTCCCACTTGGAAATGAAGATATCTGGTGCACTGGAGTGCTGCAAAATCAAAGGAAGTGCAAGCAAGCTTTCTGTTGGCCAGTAAGCAGGGTCCAAGTTACAGTATTTTTCACAGCACTTGAAACATGCACTGAATTTTTTGCCTTTTCCTCATAAATTTTGTCCAAAGTTCTGACTCCTGGGCTGGTATGTTTTGGAAATAATCTGGGGAACCTCAGAGAGGGGCTGCTAGGTGCAACAAGTTACAGCAGTATTCTTGATGTTCACGGCTGCCCTTTGGAGACCTCTCATGCAAACTCTTTTCATGCATACTCCTAATCAGAAGTGAATTATCTATAATCCATTTTCTAAGGTTCATAAGAAAGGCCCTGCTAAAGGCTTGCCTAGAGCAGTGTAAACAGTGTAGAGACAATAAAAATATGATTAAGCCCTCCCTGTCTTTCTTTCTACACCTACAACTTGCAGTATGACAAGGCTTAGGTACCTACCTGAGAGAAACCTGAGGAGAATTGGATTAGTTAATGATTGCAGAGGGCTTTAAAACTGCAAAGTCTTACATGCAGTAAGTGGCTGCCTATAATAGGAAGCCATTGCTCTCTTTCCTAAAATTGAAATAAATTACATTGTCCATCACCACAACCACTGACATCGTCCCCAAACCACCTCGTATCTGTGAGGAGTGCTCTACTCAAAAAAGCTCAGCTAAGGCATATATTCCTGTTAATATTATTAGTACAGCTTGCTGAAACTCACTGCACTACAATGCTCAGTAACACCTGCAATAGCAGGGAGAGAGAGCAAACAAGTGTATATGAGAGAGAGAGGGAGAGACATCTAAATATTGCTGATCTTTAAAAATGCTCACTCCCAATCCATTTAAAATGTCTGCCACAAATCACACTGTTACTTAGGTCTTGCCTCTCAGAGATGCTAATCCAATGGACCACCACCATGTCCTGCTGCAAGCAATTAAAACTGTCACCTCTTGACCTGTCTTTAAAACACAAGTATCTAAAGGTAAAAACAGCAACACATTGTGGAGCCAGTCTCAGCACACTTTTTCAGACACCTCGCTTTCCCAGTCTGGCATTTCTAGCTGCTGCTTGTGACAGAAACTGCATTATTGTGGCAATACCTTTCCATATGGTACTTTTAAACAACATTTTGCCTCATTTGAAGTCTGCTTCAAAAGCCAAAGATTTTTGGTTTTGTACAAGTTCTTTTGTAGTAAGCCAGATACAGCAACTTTCATATAGGAAACGGGTTGCAAAGAGGCTTTTGCAGTCCTTGAACAACTCTAACTCTACCTTATATACTGTATTTTCACATACTGAAAGCAAAATGCAAATCGAAGGGCTTCTACTTTTACTGCAATTGTCTCAGTGAACAAAGAAAAAGCCAGGCTAAAAACATTTTCATGTGGCAAGCTACTTATAAATACACAAAATTACTTATCACAAATGCAACAACACACACCTTAAAACTATACAATGTATTCTGCTAAAGGAATGTAAATTGGGTGCGTGCAACTCCAAAACCAGAGCAAAGTAAACAGATAACTGAAATAAATCTATTAGCCCTGCAACACATGAACAGTTTTTATTTAAAAGGACACTGCCAATTATTATTTTCAACAACAGTTTAAATCAGGTTCATTTTTGTATTCTTCTAAGTGGCAGAGCTCCTACTAAGATGTGAGATAAAACAATTAAATGTTGACTTGTCTTTTTTGTTTTCCTTTTAGAACCCTATCAGTACAACATTACAGCAAATTATTATTTTCTTCCTTTTTCAGGAACATGAGGTATTGCTCACAGATGTCTCATATTTCAATGTTTTCCTCTAGCAATGTAGCTTTCTGTGCAGATTCTGATTTTTTTTTTGGTAAGGCAGGAATTTGCCCATACAGTTTTTATTTAAAAGGACACTGCCAATTATTATTTTCAACAACAGTTTAAATCAGGTTCATTTTTGTATTCTTCTAAGTGGCAGAGCTCCTACTAAGATGTGAGATAAAACAATTAAATGTTGACTTGTCTTTTTTGTTTTCCTTTTAGAACCCTATCAGTACAACATTACAGCAAATTATTATTTTCTTCCTTTTTCAGGAACATGAGGTATTGCTCACAGATGTCTCATATTTCAATGTTTTCCTCTAGCAATGTAGCTTTCTGTGCAGATTCTGATTTTTTTTTTGGTAAGGCAGGAATTATGCCTATTTAATTTTACTCCATTCAGAACTAAATAATAAACAATGAGACCGATTCCTTCTGATAGCAGAAACACAGTTAGTTCCTTGATCAGCCATTTAAAAAAAATGTATGCAACTCCATATTTAACCTCTGACTTTTTGTTCTCAGTGTCTTAGTTCTACAGCACTGGTCCAAAGAAACAAAGTAAGGAAGAGGCTCTGCAGAAGGACACTTGAAAAATTTGATTCAGCTCAAAATATGAAATAACACAGCTATTCAAAAATTATTGAGAGTGTCCATTTAAATTACTGTTCTTTGGTCAGCAGAAGAGAAGGACGAAAGAAGGAAATCTAGACTACACAAAAACAAACATTCAAATAAATGGGATAAGCACTCCCCAGACAACATGCTGGGCCTGATCTCTCCTCTGCCCTTCTCCCTGCAAAACTCATCACCTCTTTCTCCAGAAACCAACCTCCACACCTGTCGGACCCTCTGTGCCTATTTGTCCTTTCCTGTCTCCTCCAGCTCCACAGGGCAAGTCCAGCTGCAGTGTTCATGTCGGAGGGGGGCAAGACTGTCTGACTACCGGCGAAGTTATGGCACTAAAGAGGCAATTAAAACAACTACTCACATCTTGTGCAAATATTCTCTCCCTCACTCTCTGATACTCCTCTTCTCTCTCTTCAATTGATTTACTTCGTCTGTCATCTCTAAATGGAAGAATTCTGTTTTGCTGAGCAGAAAGAAAACCAGGAGGGTTATATAAGTTGAGCTGTTAGAAACTGCCATTAAGTAACTGTCAGCTGAGAATTATAAATGTTCACTTAAACAAATGAGGCATGAAAACGATAGCTGTCCTTCCTGCACAAAGTGCCCTGCAAGGCTTGGCACCCAAGGGCTTCCAGGTAGAGATACTGCACGGGGGTTCACAGCACAAGAGGCTAAAAGGAGACTTTCTGCACAGTTTTTGTGGACCCGCCACCCTTAAACTGGGTGTTTTCACCCCAAGCCTAAGTACTATTGCTCTTGACTGCTAGGATTTCTTGACTCTCCTACCGGCTGCAAGGAGTAAGAGGGCAGGCAGTGCTGCACTACCTCTTAAATTGAGGAAGAGGGGAACTAGGTGGTAAGAACTAAACTGCAAACCCCGAAAGAAACCCATGAAAGTCTATTTGTACAAGGAAAAGTCCCATATATTCAGCATGAGTGTTTTAACCATTTCCATACCATAAAGAAACCCCTGACTTCAGTTTTGCTGGGAAAAGAACAGCCACTTGTGCCTCACAGCGTGGGAAATGGCTGCGCTGTGGGAGGGAGGAAAGGAGAAGAGGACCCCCACCAAGAAATGCTTCATTGGCATGGGATTCACGTACTGCTCCTTCTCCTGCACCCCAGCACATGGTGAGATAGGTCACACTGCTTTCCTTTGGCTGATGCCCATGTTCATCACATCCTGAAAATGCTTGGATTTTGCTTCTGAAGCCAACTCAGATGCAGCAGAACTTGCAAGGCTGCTACATACAAGTCAAAGAAAAAAAGGGAAAAAAGAAGAAAAAAAAAAGGAAAAGAAAAAAAAGGAGGAAAATCACTCTTTTACTGAAAGCATAAAGGAGAATGGCAATGAGAGACTCACTGGTAGGTCCCTCCAAAAATATAACCTAAACAAAGAAAGCATACACTGTCTTCTTACCTGTAAGAGTTTTCTCATACAAGCAATTCATTTTAGAACCCTTTTTCATTTTTCTTTGTATTAATGTATTCCACATACACAGCTCAGATTGAAACAGCACAACACCCGCTTTTAGAGGCAGCACAAACACACACATGTCCCTGGCACTCTCCTACTTACTGGGCTCACCTAAGGTGTTACGGCACAGGCAACACAAAGGGGGGGAACATCTGCCACAGTACATGCATGACAAGCAAGTAAGTTACAGACAGTAAAAAAGGTGGTGAGGGCACAGGAGGAGCGAGGGAAATAAAAGCTGAAACTGATTTACTTTACGTCAAAACTTGATTTAGGATACTTTAAAAATCAACCTGGCCTCACCATCACACTTTTGTTTGGGGCACGATTTATTTTATTTTTTCCTCTCTCCTTTTTGGGCTACATCAATTTTATCTTTGGTCCATACTGAAACCCAACTCTGAATGACTACAACGGAAGGAGAAAGCTGTAGGGAGCGGAACAACTGCCACAGTTAGGCCAGACATTGAGAAATGCGACTGACACAGCCTTCCACGCAGCCTGGAGTCACTGGCATTCCCCCTCCCGTGGGCATGCAGCAAGTCCTGCGCCAAGCAAACCACCCATGCAAACCCACACACTGCCACAGCTGAAGCGGCCACGCCGGGGCTCGATGCTACCCCACGGTGGTGGTACGTACGCCAGAGGAGGCAGGGAGGGGGCAGGAGGGCAGGGGAAGAGGAGAGCAACAACAAAAGAACAACAACATCAGTCAGCCCACCTTCAAAAACAGAACAAATTTCAGCAACTCTCGAACCGAGAACCAACCTGATTGTCTTCTTTATCAATACTAGAGTTATCTCGCTTCAAGATAAATCGCTTCTGGGATTCTTCACCTTTTTCATCTTTTAAATGTTCAGAAAACCTTTGCTCTGGTCTGCCAGCAAAGTAAAACATAGCAATAAAAAAATCTTTCTTTTGGTTTTGCTTTGATCTTTATTTCTCAGAGCTCTTTGTTTTCACAGAGGCATTCAGTGCAAAAGCAGTTAACATTTGTGGTCATGGTGAGAAGCTGCCTATAGCTGTCTGAGGCTGCCGTAGTGCTGCTAAATTATTGCTATAAATAGCTTTTGTTGTTGTTGTGCAGCAAGGAGCGGGAATCCAAAGTCTCAGTCACTGAAATATTTAGACTGTTCACTGTGACTGAAGGACAGGGAAACCAAATTAACATACCGTATGTTAATTTGCTTACTTCAGTAGCTGTGCCACTTACTGAAACCTATCCACCTTCAAAAGAAACAAAAACCTGATAGAAATCTTAAAAAAAACCAAACACAAAACCAAGAGTTTCCTCACTCCTAATAAAGAAAAGCAGTTACTCGAGGGACTGATGCTGTTTTGCTTAAACAAAGAATTATCACTATGAAATGGGAAAATACTATGGAACAATCAGAGTTATCAATGAGTTCACTGCTGTAAATCCAACCATTTATTTATTTATAAAAGTCAAACCCCACTGGTTGAAAGCTTGACCTTGAAGAAAAAAGCATATTTTAAGAAGCACCTCATGTCACCAAGCTTGGTCACTGTCAACAATGCTCCATCCTGTACCACTCCCAGAACCAAACCCATGTTTTAAGCCCTGTTGATGCAAATAGGGTGTGCTGGAAAACTAAGCTGGGATTCACACGCTGCTGTCACCCAACAGAGGCACCGCAAACGCACAAGCCAGTTTATAAGAGCAGAAATAAGCCACGTCATGCCCTGAGGTGTCTTTTGGGGAGCACAAACCTCATGCTGTGCTCTGAGACCCTAACAGCAGTACAGGTAGGGGATGCTTGTGTCTACACAGAGACCTACCCCAACAAGACACAAAGCTTTCACTGACAGTGATGGACCAGTTGTGAAGATGTCTAACAGCAGAATTTACAGAAGTCAGTGACTAAAAAAAAATGTATTTATGAAGTCCACTGTAATGTTCAAAATAAAAATCTCAGCTTCATCTTATCTCAGAATGGAAAACTAAACCAGATACATAAATCAGCCACCATTTGGATGTTACAGCATTCAGATTTACACCTAAGTCATTAGGAATGGATTTAATCTCAAAATACAGCACATATTCATGCCATAATTATAGTCCACTACAATTCATTGTCAGATTTGCAGGAAGTATTTGTAATGAACTGAATATTATGAGATGGCAGCCCTCCTGCCTCATTTTCTGTATGAAGGACTCCCATTTCTGCTCACAATTTTTCTGACAAAGTGACAAAACATACCAGTCTGATTTCCACAGATTTTGAGAGTTCAAGAAATCTTTATCATCCAACAGATGCTAGCATTAGCAGATATAGGACCCAACAGATAAAAGTCATCAGACTTTCTGGATGCCTTACTAGCCTTCTTGTTGCAAGCCCAGAGGAGCATGGCTATCTGCATAGTTTTCTAAGAAAAGTAATGGGTCATTAGTGATGTTTGCTCATAAACAAAAAGGCCACAAAATCCAGCTAATGGATTGCATGGTGGGCTGTTCTGCCTTTGCTCCCATTAAGGAGCACTGTGCCTGCACAACCAAAAAGGATTATTCATTATCTCAAATATTCTGCTTTGACAGGACCAGCTGAGGAATGTTATTTTTCTTGTTTTACGTCCTTGCATGCAAAAAACCTCCTGCAATTGTACTATCAGTGTAAAATTTATAGTAGTAAACTATCTGCTGAGCATATAATAAACTGTATCCTGAGCATAATAAATAACTAGGATTTGAAAATGCAGAGGAAAAAAAAGTAATAAAAAAAAAAAAATCGAAAAAAGCTTGAAAAAGCAATTTGATAAAGTGTGTCCTCCAACTATTAACTTATTTAAACAACTACATGATTTTCATACGTCATAGCATTATTTGCATTTTTTAATTCCATTTTCAGTTCATTTACTATTTATAAAATGTGAGATCAAGCCATAGGCCTAAACTAATGATTCAGTATGTACCTGTCAATAAAATTAATCTACAAGCCCAATAGGTGATTAATCTCCAGCCATGAAAATAAATTTGTCTGGGCAGAGAGAGAGCATGCAGAGCATTATGGAGCACTGCAATACTACGAGCACCCTAAGAAGAGCCTTCCCTCCCAGTTGTCCCTGCCATTCCATGTCAACGTATCCACTGAGGCTGCAAACTGTGTGACCAGCCCTGTTAGTAAGGATGCAGAGCCTGAGGGAAGACTGTCCAAGTGAGAAATAGGATACTGTAGCAACAAATATCTTCAGGCACACTAGCCTACAAGACCTCTCTGAGTAAGTGCTCACATGCTCAAAAAACAGAAAAGGACATTCAGTTGAGAGAAATCCAGCAATGCTGGCATATGGGGGTTTGGGTATTTTTTGTCAATACCATTTACTACATATTCTTTAATATATATTGTATAAACATATTATTATTAGGATACAGGTAGCAAACAGTTTAAAACCAAGCGGAACCAAGAGGTTGGTTCTGCAATGATTTGGGTCTGGTCCTCTGATGGAAGTCAGTGCAAGTTCCACATTCATAGCTTTAAAGTCCCTGATAATTGTATAATGCATGTGCTAAAGGGAAGCAGAACCATTGTGGTTATTCCAGAGAAAACTATTGCATTAGTTCATGAATTTGTGGGTGAATCATCTGCTTGAAATTAGAAGAAAATATGTAATTTTGAGTAAGATGCAGTATACTGTCACTATACTAATACAGTACATTAATACAGTATATAATTACAGTAATACAGCATATACAGTGAGTTCATATAACCTGAGTCCTAAACAACCACGTTTACTTCTCTTCTAAGCTTTTTTAGTCCTGATATTGTCAATAGTCAAGTCTGTACAATATTCTGAATGATAAAAATGCATGTAAACATTTAATTTATCAAGCCTATTTTCACTACTAGCACAAATTGAGGTTTTACTCAAGTCAAAGTATGGTTTACAATTACTATCACAAACCCATGTAAAATCAGTAACTTATTTACTGTTACCACACTGTATCACAAACCCATGTAAAATCAGTAACTTATCACACTAGTTACCTAATGTATACCTTCAAACTATAACCACACCTTAGTTTAATTTTAAGTGGTAAAAAATGGGATTTTCACAGCCTTTTTGAAAAGACATGGAGTACTTCTAAAGACCTTATCACTAACTCAAGTACTCTGCTTAAGGATCTTCTGAAAAAAAAAAAACAAAACCAAAAAAACACAAACCCACAACCAAAAAAACCAACATACAGTACCTATCCTATGATGGCCACACAGCACACACATCTACATGCTTACAACAGTCTGCAAGGAAAGACACACAAATATAGGCTTACAAAGTATGCTATCCACATGTAAAATATTCATTATTTCATTTATCCCCCCTATCTGTAATCAGTGGATCACCTGAGAACTTCAAACACCGCTACTCTAAAATACCAAAAAGACTTCATTGTATCTTAAAAGCTCAGAAACCAACACAGAAGGAGGAGGTAATCACACAGAATTAAAATAAATAAAAATTATCATGCTTGAGTTGTTTGCTTGCTTGTTTGTTTCTATTTAACATAACCTTTTGATCATCCTAATTACTACTGCTTGACAGTATGGATGGAAGCAGAATATTGGTGCCCTAAAAATGCAACTTCACAAAAACACCATTACATATGAACTCATTTAATATTTCCTAAAAGCTGTCAGGTAGCTCCATTACTCATCTTTCTGGCAATGCATTTCAAAACACAGTGTATTCCCTTCCTCCCTGTAAAGCTTTTGATCAGGTGCTGCGAGAGTCTATGAGAAATCTGATCTGAGAGTGACTCAGTGCTCTTTGCCACTCATCCTCAGGCAGCTGCACAGACCCCTTTTCACCCCCCAGAGCTTCCAGAAAGTGTAGGTCATTTCAGCAGGCAAGACAGTTTCTCTTCTCCATCCTGCCTAGCAAGGTAGCAGCACGCTATTCAGGTAAGAGTCTGCAGGATACCTACAGGGCACCAACTTCAGTAGGTGTCCTGCAGCACCCAAACCTTTCATCCTGGAAAGCTTCCTTAAATGCTGTGAACCACTATGGACTTCAACAAAGTCTGCTCACGTCACTCAAAATGTTGTGAAACCTTTTTCTATTCCATTTTCTTTCACAGTGAAAAAAGGAAAGGATGGATTACAAAATGCATCCAATCATGATTTCCACTCTTGCAGCTCATTTTTTTTGCTGGAAGATCATTGTAAAAGTCATGTCTAGGCATGGGTCAAGTTTCTCATTTCTGTGCCTGGAATACTTCCATGGTAAGGGTGAATGAGGTTGCTCAGAGAGGTAGTAGAATCTCCATCCTTGGAGATATTCAAGAGTAATCTGGACATGGTGGCTCTGCTTGAGCACAGGTCAGACGAGATAACCTCCAGAAGTCCTGTCCAACTTCAATCACGCGGTCATTTTGTGAAACACTAAGTCAGATTTATAGTAACAAATCAGAAGAACAAATCTCCATCATTACCTCCTTTAGATGTTTGGGGTTTTTTTGTGTGTGTGTATTTGTGCGCTTTTTGTTTTGCAAGTTGGCCAGTATAATTTACTATTCTCATTTTATAGTTACTTGTATCTTACTTGAGCAAGGCCCCAACAAAAGACATTCTTCTGGACTCATTCCTTACATTAAAGTTTACATATTGGAAATGGTAAAGCTGGAATAAGCAGCAAAACATTTCTGCATGTCAGAAAGGGAACACAGGATTAAGGTTTTGATAGCAACTTCCATCATACGGTTTGCTGCGTTTTTTTCTACTATCATTAGGGTGATTTTAATGTGAGCTACTTCCATTCACTTCAATACAGTTCCTCTCAATTCATGTCAGTGCTACCCCTCAGGCTTTTTTACATGGGCTCTTTAAGGACAATTCCCCATTACCTGGTCATTTAATGCTT